TCTGTCTGTCTGTCTGTCTGTCTGTCTCTCTCTCTCCCACCATCTCCCAAACCATCCTTTGGTGATTTTTTACGCATCGGGGAATTTATCTGGGTGTCTCTCTCCACCCCCCCCCCCAATTTCTTTTTCCACATTCGCGGCTGGTGATTTTCTTTTCTTTTTTAAAACACATCAAGTGTGGTGGGGGGGGGTTGCTTCCTGTCCTGATCTGATCCTCAGCTCCAGGGGCGTTTGGAGAGAGACCATAACCTTCTCCCTCACCCCCCACCTCTCAAGACACAGGTAGGTGATGGTCTTGACCCTGCCGGGCCTGCTCAAGCCAGTTCGGGCCACAGATCTACTTCATGACGTCTTGATCAGTATCAATACCCCTTCTGCTTTAACAAGAAAAACCAATTAATTCCCTATTACTATGATTATTTTTTTTAGGATGTTCGGAGGAGCTTGAAGGCAGGAAAAGGGGATGCGTTTGCAGAACCGGGCAGCCCAAGGGGCCAATCCCCCCCAATACACACACCCGATGTCACCATCCTGACCATCAGGCGATCACCATGGACTAACTCCATCCGGGATATCTGTGACTGGCTAGTTTAGCATGGATCCCAAGATAAGTGGCTTCCTGGGGGGCAAACCCAGAGACCAACCGATGCTTGTGACAACGCCTTGGGACAATGGACTCAGAAGACGGTGGTAGAGAGCCCCAGGGACAGGCTGAATCTGATGGGCAGGGAGAGGTGAGGGGTCCCCCCCCCCGATCGATCATGATCTCAGGCCTACGGTGTCTGGGTACCTCTGATTGTGCCAGGGGTTATTTGGTGAGTGAAGTGCTTTGTCGGATCTACTAGGAGATTGTTTTCTCCTTGACTCAAGGAAGGGGTGTGTGTGTGTGTGTGCATCCAAGCTCAGATCGGCTCCCCCCCATACACCCCTCTTTTTTTGGGGGGGTGGAGAGGAAGGGAAGATGAATCTCAACAATTCCAGCATGGATGGAGCCGGCGTGGTGGTGGAGAGAGACTTCTCCTTCCGAATCCTCACAGCATGCTTCCTGTCCGTCCTCATCCTGTCTACCTTGCTGGGGAACACGCTGGTCTGTGCGGCCGTCATTCGCTTCCGACACCTGCGATCGAAGGTGACCAACTTTTTTGTCATCTCCCTGGCCGTGTCCGATCTCTTGGTGGCCGTGTTGGTCATGCCCTGGAAAGCTGTGGCCGAGATCGCTGGCTTTTGGCCCTTTGGCTCTTTCTGTAACATGTGGGTGGCGTTTGACATCATGTGCTCCACGGCGTCCATTCTGAACCTGTGCGTGATCAGCGTGGACCGCTACTGGGCCATCTCCAGCCCTTTCCAGTACGAGAGGAAAATGACCCCCAAAGTGGCGTTTATCCTCATCAGCGTGGCTTGGTTGCTGTCTGTCCTCATTTCCTTCATTCCTGTCCAGCTGAGCTGGCACAAAGCCAAACCCCCTGGCCCCACGGAAGGCAATGTCACCACGCTGGTGGCCGAAGCAGCCACGGATGATAACTGTGACACGAGACTGAGCAGGACATACGCCATCTCCTCTTCCTTGATCAGCTTTTATATTCCCGTGATCATCATGATTGTCACCTACACGAGCATCTATAGAATCGCCCAGAAACAGATCCGGCGGATCTCGGCCCTGGAGAAAGCAGCTGTCCACGCTAAACAGTGCCAAGTGGCCACGGGCAACGGGAACCCCGTGGATTGTTCGCAGTCGGAGAGTTCCTTCAAGACGTCCTTTAAAAGGGAGACCAAAGTCCTCAAGACCCTGTCGGTGATCATGGGGGTGTTCGTGTGTTGCTGGCTGCCGTTCTTCATCTCCAACTGCATGGTGCCCTTCTGTGAATCTGGCGAGACGCAGTCCTTCTGCGTCGACTCCATCACCTTCGACGTGTTTGTGTGGTTCGGGTGGGCCAATTCTTCCTTGAACCCCATCATTTACGCCTTCAACGCCGATTTCCAGAAGGCCTTCTCCACCCTTCTGGGCTGTTACAGGCTTTGCCCTGCCACCAACAATGCCATCGAGACGGTGAGCATCAATAATAACGGGGGGCCCATGTTTTCCAGCCACCACGAGCCACGAGGATCCATCTCCAAGGAGAGCAATTTGGTGTATTTGATCCCACACTCCGTGGGCTCCGAGGACCTAAAAAAAGACGAAGTCACCGGAGCCACCAAACCCTTAGAGAAATTGTCCCCTGCTCTCTCGGTCATTCTCGACTACGACACGGATGTGTCCCTAGAAAAAATCCAGCCCATCACCCACACAGGCCAGCACCCAACTTGAGCCACTGCATAAGAGGAGAAAGAGAGAGAGAGAGAGAGATCTTGGCCACAGGTGTCCGTCCAGAAAGCAAAAGGAGGGGCTGGAGGTGTGGCTCAGGTGGTGGAGCGCCAGCCAGGAAGCAAAAAGTATCACCCATTGAATCGCTTGTCTTGGAAACAACCACAACAATAGACACATTATATATATTAAACAAAAATAATAAAGACCAAAAGCTTAATGGGAGAGTTGCTCTCAGGATCTACTGCTTATGTGTGAAGAGCTCTCTGTGACTTTCCAACAGACAGCTGTGGGTATTTGCCAGGGCATTCTGGTGTATTCTTCTGGTGTATTTTCTTCATCCCTGTGGATGCCTTTCGGACTTGTGGACTCAGTAGACAACGTCTTTGGCTCTGAAATTGGTTTGCAAGTGGAGTACCTTAGGACTTTAAGGTTTTGGTTTTGGTTTTTAAAAAGGGCCTAGAAAGTCACCACGAACAGCTTCATGTAAAAAATTCAAAGTTTTCTGGGAAGGATCTGAGAAGGGTTGAGTTTGGTGTATACAAAACAGGTGCTAAAAAAAAAATATATATATATATACACATATATATGTTCCAAGAGAAGTTTTCAGATTGTAAAGGTAGGTGCATGTCTTTGTAAATTTCTTTCTTCCAAAAACAACAACGACGACAGCAGATATGATTGAACCTTATCAAAGGAGTGGGAATTTAATTTTATCATTTGATTTTGCAGAATTCAGAGATCCTTTGTCCATAGGGGTTTTAATTGCTTGACAGATTGTATTATATGGGTATTTTATATTTATTCTAGGCCATCTGTATTTATCCTAGTTCACAGGTTCTATGAATATGTTAACTGAGCTTGGGCTCTCCGATAAACTAGCGCTGTCAAAGCCAGAGAAATGAATACGCAGACTCAGAGATGAAAATGTTTTCAGGAAGGTGGATTAAAAAAAAAAAACGAATTCACGTTGACCCTTTCAAACAGAAAAGCACAGATTCACCCGACGTGAGAAATGGAGGAATTCTATAAAAGCTCTACCAGCTTTTTTTTCTCCCCTCTCTTCTTTCTTTTTTTTCTCCCCCCCAAAAAAAAGGGTTTTGGAGAGAAAGAAAGAGAGAGGGGGAAAAAAACCCAGCCCACCAAACTTTTCTTTTTCTTTCTTTCTTTTAAAGCATCAGTGACCATTGTGCTTGACATGTTTTTTGAAAATGAATGATTTTTTTTTTCCAGGAGGCCGATCTAGTTCTGTAAATATCTTACATAAAAGCCAGGCAGAGGGAGGAGAAGAAGGAGAAGAGGTCTGCATTTTCTTATGTCAGGTGGCAAAAAGAAAATACACACACACACACACACACACACACACACACTCACACACACACACACACACAACTTGCCAGGTTGTATTTATGTAAAATAACCTTTCCTTCTCCCCATTGTCTTTTCCCATTTCATGTCTCACTTTCTTCTGAACTTTGGTATTTTCTTTCAAACAAAACACCTTTCAATATGAATGGAATGTCAGCTCACGAATAGAGCCGGATTCACCTCTACTGGGAGAGCACTTCTGTTTAGGAAAGAAATAAGAGGCTCTCATTTCTTTTTTTTGGGGGGGGGAGGGTTGTGCTTAAATATTTCCAAGCCCTGGGCATTTTCCACTCACAAATACTGTCCTTTTTGTCTTGAGAATCAGGGAGGTTGTGATCAAATCCTTGTCAGGTATCACGGATAGCTTGTATTGGAGAGACTAAGCCCAAACCTATTTAGGTAGGACATTTTGATCGTGCGTTTCGGAAAAGGGTCAGAAGGTGTTTTTTTTTGTTTTTTGTTTTTTTAATCAGCTATGGATTGAACAGGTGATGATATTGGTTAAAAAAAAAAAACTGAACAGCAACAACAACAACAAATCCCCTAAGTGTGGGAAAATATCTGCACCAAACCTGTGTCATTTCTGTATTGTGAATGTGTTCTTTTTCCCTTCCTTTCTTTGGACTGCTTGTGTGCTTTCTTATATACAATAAACTTATTTTGTGAACTCCAATCAACCAGCAGGAGCTGTGTGGCGTGGGGGCGGGGAGGTGGGGTGGGGAGGGATGTGTATTTTTTTTTTTTAAGAAATGAGAAGATTTCAAATGTGCAATTAAGTGCACAGGGTCATTTTTAGTCCCCGTTTACTTCGTAGTTTTATTTTTCTGAGGGAATAATAAGAAATTTCTCTTGTGTGTGCTGTGGGTCGGGTAGGTGTCCTGGGAAGAGAAGAAAATGGTAAGAAGAGATTTTTTTTTCTCGGTTTAGGCTGTTTCTTCCTGTCATCATCATTATCATCAAGAATAAGACTAATAATAAGTATTATTTTATGCTTATATTTTAATGTATATAAGTATTTTAATATATAATATAATAGGAAGTAGTATAATATTTAATATAAATATTATAATATATAATACTATTTTAATATAAAATGTATTTTAATATTTATGCTAGGTTTTTATAAGAATAATTATTTTGTTTAGGAACTCTCATTGATCGAAGAAATACCTTTACTTTGCATTTTTCAGATTTGAAAGCTTTCTGAAATTTTCACTTTTTTTTTTCTTTCTAAAAGGCTATTCTGAATACAGCAAACATTTCCACCAGACACCTGTGGCTCCCGCCTGTCATCCTAGCTACTCAGGAGGCTGAGATCTGAGGATCATGGTTCAAAGCCAGCCCAGGGCAGGAAAGTCCTGGAGACTCTTAACTCCAATAAACCACCAGATAACTGGAAATGGCGCTGTGGCTCAAGTGGTAGAGCACTAGCCTTGAGCTGAAGAGCTGAGGGACAGACAGCACCCAGGCCCAGAGTTCAAGCCTTAGTAGCAGCACCAAACCAAACAAGAAGTTCAGAGGCACAATCAAGCAAAGTTGAACTTGTCTGGCCCCAGGAACACCACACACCCAGACGTTCCTTTTTAGTTATTTCATTGGCAAAAGAATGCAAAGCTCAGGATAGGTTTAGAAATAGCCAGAAGAATCAAATTTGATACGACCAGAACGAGCCCACTGTTTGGGGGCCTGGCGATGAAGGATCTCCCGAATGCGAATTGTTCATAAAGAGTCTCCTAGAGCTGATCAAATTCATCACAGAGCAGGCAAATTTACAGCAGGACTGTTTGGTTCCTGTTTAACTTCAATGATGGTTGTGGGGCTTGAACTCTGGGCCTAGGCGCTGTCCCTCAGCTCTTCAGCTCAAGGTGAGCACCTTGAGCCAGAGCGCCACTTTCCTGCCCGGGCTGGTTTTGAACCGTGATCCTCAGCTCCCAGCCTCCTGTGTAGCCAGGATTTACAGGCATGAGCCACCAGTGCCCGGCTCAGGGAGGGATTTTCATTATGTTAAATACACGAGAAACACTTTACCAGTGGAGAGAGAATTTCACTCTCCCCTCTGAGAAGCAGCCTTCAAAGTCAGACACACACACAGATGCAGATACACACATAGACATATACACACATACACATGCACACAATCACATACACACAGAGGTGCACAATTAGAAGGAGAGGGAACACTGGACTTCATTTAGAAGATTGGGAGCTTCTTTTGGAGTCTCCCTGCTTTCTTTCGGGATCTGAGCAAGTTGCCCTTGCTGTCATCATCATCATCATCATCATCATCATCATCGTGTAGGTCCTTAGGCTTGAACTCAGGGCCTGGGCGCTGTCCCTGAGCTTTTTCATTCAAGGCGAGCGCTCTACCACTTGAGCCACTGCGCCACTTCCGGTTTTCTGGTGGTTCATTGGAGCTCAGAGTCTCACAGACTTTCCTGCCCAGGCTGGCTTTCAACCAGGATCCTTCAGATCTCAGCCTCCTGAGGAGCTGGGATGACAGGCGTGAGCCGCCAGCATTCTCTGCCGTTTTGTGGCCAGCCCCATCTGCCCGGTCCTGTGCTAATTTCAGTATCATGGTTGGGATTCACAGAATTAAAAGAAGCCCTGGTGACTTTAGGGTGTTACATCACTCCTGATTTGGGAGTTTGTGATTTCAAGGGTATTAGAAGCTCAGGAGTAATCTGCGATTTCAAAAGGGTTTAACTTTGTAATCACTACCAAAGGATGGAAGGAATTGGTTGCAATTGTTTGCCTGTCCTGAGGGCAGAGATTTTATTCAGCCATGGAAAAGGAGTTTCTCAGAGCCTTGTACCCAGATGTGTGGCAATTTATTATGCCTCTTTAGGCAGGG